CAGACGATTTGCCATCAGTGTGTATACGTATGCGTACTCCCCAAAAAGCAGAAGAACCGGTTGCTTCCCAGGGATCCGCTTCAGAATGCAGTCAAGATAGCAGTAGTGCGAAATTGGAAGCAGGGAGTGCTTCTAGTGTGATAGCTTCCACTGAGGTGATTGCATTTCGAGATACTCCAATTGTTACTGTAAGCATACTAGACTTTTATTTTTGAAGTAGGTTGCTTATATGGGCAGGTGACAATCAAGATGAGCCCCTAGAAGGTAGGGACAGTGAGTGTTACGAATATGTACCAACGTGTTCTCAACTTGGCTGTTCTAACCAGAACGGAACGAAATCAGTTGAAGTTCGCTCATAATGATGATGAAGGGATGGAGACTGATGCGTGCGAGCGAGAGGTCGACTTAAAAGGGGGTCTCTGTATTGAAGGGGTTTACTATCGGGTAAAATGTACTGAGAAGCGAAATATTAGTCGAATTGATCCCCCAGGGGTAAACAAGCTATGTAGTAAAACAACTATTTCACAGTATGAAATAACGTTCTAATACAATATTCGTTTTCAGCCAAAAACTTCTCCTCGGCCGAAACAAAACCAGTCATCCATCTCGAAAACTGAGGTAGTCATTCCAGAAGAGCTAAGAGTGAATCTTCGAGAAAGTTCGGCTACTGTGGACACGGTAGGTATACTGGCGGTCTGCCATTGTTAGGAAAAGTTTCATTGGTGTACAAGTGGTCAATTTAGACCAATATAACTCTGGACTATGAGGATCCACTTCAAGGCATAACACTAGATCAGTCAAGCGCTGAGCCGTCCTTGGAAGATGACTGTGTCATTATAGATGGATCTCCAAAAAGAGCTAAGAGCAGTGGTTGGTTTTCAGTGCTCGGTTCGGAGTTTTCTTCTGCTTCGTGTTTGGATGATTGGTTCCATTTTCCAATTTGTTCCAGACTTACCTGTCAGCTGCGTAAGTATTGAAGAGGCCTCGCAATCACAGTCTCAGTCATCAAAGCTCAGCGAAGACAAAGTTCAAAAAGGCACTGACTTTTCTTCAAGTTCAGCTGAAGATATAGTGGGTTACCGTGCCATTTCTGCTTTTCATAGATTATCTAATTTACCTGAGGCGCCTCCCAGCCATATGAAGTTCTAGTGGTCAATATGCCAAAAATGTGGTTGCCGTTCTTCGGGATAGCTTTCGCTGATACTGTAAAGTTTCGTGTAGCAAGAGCACAGTTTTCCGCAGGTTTTGAAATTCACCTGTGACTGTCGTTCGGAAACCAGTTGCGAAGTGGTTCCATTAGTCTTCCATTATCTCATCCTGGTAGAAACGTCTATCCTCGATCTGGAACGGATCTGAGCGTGCTGACTGTGGTATACCTGAAAACGGACTCATTGCCACACAATCTGTTGCTTCTGTTTTAGCATATGTCCAGTAATAGCCATGAGGGCGATTCGACTCCTTCAAGCATTCCTAATGAAGAGGATGGGTCACAACCGTCGACTAGTAGCAGGAATAGCCCAGACCTGTTTGATGAGAAGAGCAGAGATGCTAGAGAAGGTAATTCTTTACCAGTACTATATTCTTCATTGGAATTTCTTATTTTCCTGAATCACTATCTTCCAGCCTCCAACTTCGTGTATTATTATGTGAATGAGAGTTCTTTTTAAATTCATTGCGCTGATTGTTTTTATGTTGAGTCTTTTTTCCGAACTCGTTTTCAATGTTGTCTCTTTTTGACGTTGCTGCAATTTTTATGCTAATCTCTTTTCCATGAAATACTTTACCAATCACTGGCAAATTTATTGTAGCATCACTAATAACGTTGGATACAACCCCATTACGAAGCTGTTCGCTCCGAAAGAGGTCTTCAGCTGTGCGAGTTTCACTGAACCATGAATTAAGGTGAATATCTGTGCTTTGTAGCAGTCATTTCTGCCACAAGGATTAACGTTATTGCTTGAATTCAGTGAGTTTTCACCGGGACGCAACTCTCCTAAGATTGGATCAGCTGACTGCAACAAACCAATGGAGACCTCCCCTATAAGGATGAATACTACTGGAGGGAGTGGCAGCAGTGATAATGAAATAGTTTGCCTGGGAGAGCAGCCTGGAACACAAACATCAACGACATCCAGCGATCCGTACAGGAATGAATATTTTGACTACCACGATCCTTTTATGGAGCCATGGTACGATCCGGTTGAAATGCAACCATCACAAGCGTGCTCAGAACCTATAAGAGAGGCAGAACCTGTGGGGGAGGATATTGAAGCAACACCATCGCATGGTACAAGTCGCCGTCGCTCGTCAAGAACTGAAAGAAAATCTTTAGTGAGTCGGAAGTTTTTCGCACTTATTTTTGATCTGGATTATGGTTCAAACTTCTATTGAAAAATCGGCACCTCATTTCTTGCAAACAGAAATAAAGCTCCAATCCGTTGCGGTGAATGTGCCTTAACGCGTGCCTTATTTGCCGATATGGTAACGTGGGAGAAGTTCAAAGAACGTGTGCAGTCTACATTTTCATTCAGACCCAGATCCCTATGCGACCTTGCAGTTCTACGCTGGAGCGAGCTGAGCCCATGGTACAGAAAAGCCCAGCGAACAGCCCCGCGGTCAGCAGTAAGGTCCACGCTGCTTCTCAGGATTCGTTCTTCGACACACCGATATTCCTGAATAAGGAAGTAGGAACAGTTGAGGTTAGCTGATGCCACAAGAGAGTACTGCGATTTCTGCTGATCCTACTTTTCCTTTGAGGACGATCCTAGAAACTGTGAAGTGACTGATATTGTTCAACCGATGTCACAACAGACCACACCTGTACAACCTGACAGAAAGAAGCCCAGGTACATTCTGGCTTTCTTCGCATTTTTATGTTTTTTCTTATTATATTTTCAATTGGACAGAACCTCCCAGACAAAAGGGAATGGGGGAGTTGCTACAGCATAATAATCATTTCAACTTTATTATTTCACCTTGTTACCATTATATTTATTAAAGTGTTATACAGTGTTTCATCATTTTTCTTATTCTAAATCTATTATATATTGATTGTAAGGATATTTATTATATTACATACATTTTTATTTTCTATGCCACCTATATATAATTTTATTACAAACTATTTCATATTACATTTATTATTCCCCTATAAATATTATAACTAAATTCCTAGATTTGGTTCGAACGTCAAGATTTTGAAGACGTCTGGTATTACACCGATGTCTAATTACGACGGTATGGGGAACGATGAATTGAAGGTACGAAATCAGTGGGTTTGGTCGCATCTTAGAACTTACGATAGTGTCGTTTAATAATCTATTTATAAAGGCTATAATTTTTTATAGCGAGAACTAGCCAAATTTGGCCTGAAGCCAATGGGCAGGAAACGAGCGATCGCTATACTGAAGAAAATTTACTCAGAAGTAC